AAATATATCAAGTGTGCCACTAGAACTGAATCTTATGATAAAGTACTTAACACTTTTTGCTTTTGTTTTCATATTATTGGGCTGAAAAATACAGCTGAAGCAGTAATTTGAAATCCACATTAAAAACCCAGTATTATCCTTAGTATCATCTGTGATCAACATCTGAAGCAAGAACTTGCTACCAAGATATGTACAGCATAGTATTCCTTGTTTCTCCAAATTAAAAGGCAATATTAATATCTGCATCATATATTTGAAGTGTCCTTGCGAAATTGTTAATAGTCAGTGGATGATTATCGCCATTGAGTTTTTCGTTGTAAAACTTGTTTGCATGGTCAGGGATTCTATCTAGAGTCTGTGAATTCCAATACCCACAATATCTGATAATGGAAAAACAAATGCTATAAAAAGATGTGGCACAACAGCATAGCAAGGGAATATGAATGGTTGTAATTTCAGCATCTGCATGATTTGCTTGGAGGGGGACAGCTGACAACTGTTGATCAGAAATATGTCATATCACACTGTTTTTCATTAATATATACACCTTTGAGTTCAAATAAAACATTTGGATTTTGATAATGACCTTGAAAATAGTTTATCAGCTCATTTAAGCTGTTAACTTTTCACTGTACACAAGTTCCTTGAGGATGGGGCATACCATATGAATCTCTACCATGAGAATCAATTATCTTAAACTTACCATTGCCATTACAGTAAAAACCTACTGTAGTACTGAGGATTGTTAAAAAAAGGAATTATAATTTTGTCCTAGCAAAGCCTGCATAGCATTAGCAAATGACATACAATAATTGAAATCTTGTACTTCACAAGTACCATGTATAGTACCAGTATAGCTTGGACTATGTTGAAGCTGAAATTCCCTTGAATACCCTTGAAATATTGTAATTAGTAGATATAAAGTCCAATGGAAAAAAATGTTAAAACTATTACAATCTTAGAGTTTGCCTTTTTCCTTTACTGCTTATGTACAGAATGTAAACACTTAGAGTACTTTTCATATGCAAGTGAAAATTTGCAATTACTGTAATTAGTAGACTGAATTTTTTTGTTCATCATCAACTGCTACAAACTAAAGGGTAATTTTTTTGTTCAAGGGCAAATGAAAATAGTGGTTTTGAGTGAAGTGATTTCAATAAACCTGGGTACTGCTGATCAATCACATAGAAGCTATCAGATGCGAAATGCTTTGTCACTTTTTTTTTTGCATGTTTTAGAGTGATTTTTGTTTGCCCATGAAATGAAAAAATGACAATTTAGTTTGTAATAGCTGATTAACAATGAAAGAAAACAAAAGATTCACATTACACCACTAATTATTAGTTATCCTGTTCTTTAATGGAAAATTAAAATCACTTTAAACACCAACAGTTAATTAGTACTCACCAAGTTTAATGTAATCACTCTCACTAATAAACTAAAATGTATCAATTAAAGTATACTAACCATTTAACTCCAAATGGAAAAAACAAATTGGAGGTATTAGTACAAAATATGCTTAAGTGTATTTCTCAGGTTTATGAGAACCACTCTAACAACCCCATAAAATTAATAGTTCATCTGCAAATAAGCTTTGGTAGTGACTTTTTGTCTTCTTTTGGTGATAAGAAAAATAAGTAATTGGTTTTCTTCCATCAGTTAAGTGTCATCACCCTCACACTTGGGGCTGTTTATAATTAAAAGCTATCTCAGCCAGAAATCTTTTGTTAACCAAGGAAAAGAAAACATAAGACAACCTATTTAGCAAATGACTCACCCTGCTAAAACCCCTTAACCTACAAAACAAAATTTAATCAAGTCAAAACTCAAAAAAAAAGAAAGAAAATGGAAATAGTGTTTAGTAATAAGTATTCAAATAATAGCCAATAATATATGGCACTGTCTCCACCAACCCCACCCTTGAAAAGGGTCTTCACACTACATAACAAATGCTGTTTTCAGCTGTCTGTATACACTTGTGAGAAACTTGCATCTCTGGCATACCAAGACAGAAAACAGTTACAGGATAAACTGATAATTGCATTAATTTAACCCTTTAATTCCCGGAAGTGATTAACATAAAATTTCTCCCTACAATATCCATACATTCTTCAGCAAACAGGTAATGGGAATATTCACACTTATCAGGTAGAAGCTGCTATCTTGATCGAGCACCAAGTTATCATAACTAATTTACAGGGAAATGTGTAGCAGTTACAGGAGAGAATTAGCAATCAGATCTTGGGAGTTATAGGGTTAAAAAAACTTGGGCAAAATAAATGCAGGCACAAAAAACAAAGTTTCTTTCAAACAGAAAGCCCAAGTGAACGCAAATACGCGTCTAGTTTTCTCTACGAATGGAAAACATCAGTTACACAAATTGTCTCGCCTCAACTCACCCACCCAACAAAAATAACTCTTGCACGCATAGCATGCCTATGTTTTGGTCTCGTCACGCAACGCCCTCTTTCCAACGGAGGAGAGAGGGCGTTGCGTGACGAGGCTGAACAATGGCTGCGAAGGAGACTACAGTGTGCGTGAAACCAGTGCAGCTTAGGGACAATAAACCAATGTGTGCGTTTATTTCAGATAAATTGGAAGTTTTTTTTTTCCTCTATCTCTCTCCATTAACCCTTTCCACCCTAACATCAGTAAGTATATTCTCCATAATTTTTTCTATACGTTTCCTTTGGTACTGACAAGGAGAAGTTTTTGAACAATCAAGAGCTTCATTGGTTGGTAAGCATTTCCTTTATTCTCGTGGCCTTAATGTGTGATTCAGGGATTTATTGTAAGGAGAAATTAGATGCTGATCACTCCAAGCGGTTAAACGGGTAAGGTGAAGTAATTATATTTTTCTTTACAATTAATACAACATTGACAATACAACCAGAAATACTTATGTGTGAGTTTATTTCAGATAAATCGGAAGGGTTGTTTTACTCTCTTAAGTAAAGTAATGCTCTATTTTCGTTCTTTTTAAGGTTAAGGCTCTTTTTCTTTTACAAAAATGGAAACATCAGTTACACAGTGTCCCACCTCAACTCACCCATTTAAAGAAGTAACTCTTGCATGCATTGCATGCCTATGATTTTACTGTTTGTCTCATCAGTGTCATGCGCACTGTTTCTTCACTTCTTCTTATTGACTTTTACTTCAATGTTTTGTGCAATAAATGTTCCTTTTCTTTCCAATCTGACGTTTTTGTCAATGTCCAGTCTACTCCTTCTTTTTACTTTGTAGCGATTACATTGCGCACTGTTTTTTTTTTTTTTTCATTTTCTCTGTTTGGTAGTTTTGTTTAGTTGTAATTGTATCTTCCGCATAGCTCGTTCTCTTGTCTCCTCCGATTAAATATTTCGTTAGAATCTTGCACAATGCTTGTTTCGTCTCTGTTTTGTTTCCAAGTTAACATCTACCTCACGGTTTGTTCCAATTTATATTTGTTTCCTACAGTAGAACCTAGCCCTCTGTTCTTTTCCTTAACCCTTTAACTCCCATCAGTGACAAGACATAATTTCTCCTTACAATATCAACACAGAATTAAGCAGACAAGTGAGGAGAATAAAGAAGAAATCTCAATTAAGGGGACTACAAGTTGATCCACTGGTAAATTCTCCAATTTGAAATCCTAAGTATTTTATGGCAGACAGTAAGGAGAATTACTAATGAGATCTTGGGAGTTAAAGAGTTAATTCTGGCTGATTGTCACGTTCATATCCTACAAACTGTTTGCACTCTTCTGTTTGGCGTTAGTATCTCGCGCAATGTTTTCTCCTAATTTTATCTCAATAATTCGCTCACCGTTTCTCTTCTTCTCTATTTGTTAAAACTTTTTTTTTAAGTTTATTGTACTCTGTTAGTTCCCTTCCCCATTTAACTTTTACATTACTATGTAGCGCCTTGTTCCGAACACTGTTTGATTTTTGCGTTAATTCTCAACAATTGTTCTCTTCTTTGTCTGATTTTCACTTAATTATCTTCTAATTTCTAACTGATTGTGTGTTCAGTATCATGGCACTTTTTGTTCCCGCTTCTGTTAGTTTGTTATGTTATCATCTCCTGCACCTGTGAACAATCTTAATCACTCTTTAATGATCACGTGCGCATGCAACGGAAAAATTGAAAACTGGGCCGTATACCGTAATGATTTAAATAAAAGATTAGTTTTGAGTTTTTACGACACTTGCTAACATTCTCAAATTTTTATGCATTAAGCTAATTTCCTGCGTTCAGTTTTCGCATCCTAATTTATTTTAGTTCCCTATTGATAGTATACTTAATAGATCAAACGGCTTAACTGCAGGTTTCATTGTCACTGGATTTTGATTAAGCCCTGCCTACAAAAGCACGCAAAATCTACTACTTGACTTAAAAAAAACAAAAAAACTTAAAACTTAAAAAACTAAAAATGTATTCGCAAAGTAATACCAGTGTCCATTGAAAGACTATGTACAGGAAGAAGAATCTTTGTGTAGAATCAGTAGTCACTCTGTTTCTTCTCCGCCTCGTTGTTGTCCTCCTCGAGTTCTTCTTTCCTAAAAAAAATGATAAATTTGTCAATATTTCAATAATGAAACAGGTTTCCAATAAAAGAAATTACTTTCTTCCTCAAAGTCATTGGCTCTGATTATTCAAACTTGTCGAACATACCATGCTTGATACGAAAGTGACTTTAAGGTCGTCAATTTATTGTTAATTTTGTTGATTTTTTACAGATAAAGCGAATTTTTTCAGCTTCTTAGGTTACCTCCATCGTCATAGCGTCCAGCATCGTCTCGACCTTGATTAATTATTTCTGATTATATTGAATACAAAAGAAAAGCTAATTCAAGCCAATTTTAGAAAGCCTTCCGTGAAAATCTTCTAGCTCCAAGAACTAGTTAAAATCAACTTCTCTTTCTTGGCATTTTATGGATGAAAGACAAAGAAGTTGGTAAAGTGAACAAGTCAAATGTACTAATCGGTTTATCGTAGAAAATTGCTCATTATGATCAGACTTACCCTTTTTGCATAAAATCAAATGTCACGTTATCCCCCATCAGCACGAACGGGGCCCATTGGCAAGGTTTGGGGAAGCCATTGCTTCTCAACCATTGTATGGCCTGGTGAAGAGATTCACTGGCACTTTCTCCACTAACAAGGTGTTTATAGAAATGTTTCATGAGCCTCTCTGTTGCTTTGTCTTCTACAGCCCACGATGCTACCAACACTGAACGTGCACCGGATGCTAAGAATGCTCGAGCGATTCCAATAACTCCTTCCTTTTTAATCAATCCACGCCCACTGTGACAACAGCTGAGTACTACCAGTTTAGCTCGCACTTGAACTCCTTCAATGTCGGACATTGTCAGGAGGTAGTCTTCCTCTTGTGGAATACTGTTAACAGTACGTTGAGGAGAGAGAGCAATCTCTCCTCTCTCGGGATTTCCATGTGCGGCAAGATGTATGAGACTCACTGAAGTTATTGCTTCAAGAACCGCCTGCTTTGTTGCGCGACTTCCTAACAAAGGTCGAACGCCCAGCAGTTCACCCACCAACTCTGCTTCCTTACTTGCACAGAACAATGGTATAATGTCTTTGGGACATCCATTGTAATGCACTGTGCCAACCGTAGGATCACCCACAACCAGCGCACCCGTTTGACTGTGATAGTCTGTTGGACATTCCTGAATGAGTCGGAGAGTCGTCAATGAAGGAACGATGCGTATTCTGTACTTCTCCGATAAATATCTTCCGGCTGGTTCATCACGTAAGGCAGCAAATGGGACTCGGTACGCGAAACGATCCGGTACAATGATGATTTCGGGCTCTGTAAGTAAATCTGCCACAGGTACAACGATCCATTCGTAGCACAAATGATGACTTCTTCCGATATCTTTGGTTTTGTCACCTCGCAAATTTGCTTGGCTCTCTTCATGAAGAGATGTCGTCACGTTGTCATCCAGCGATCGGTCTTCGCAGTTCGCTGTGGGTAAAACACCAAAGCAGGCGGCGCTCTTTTTGAAAACTCCTTCCACTTCGCAAACTTGCTCAGCAATAAGAGTCTCTAGTTTCACTTCGTCTGTTTTTCGAAAGCATACGTCTCCATTTGCTTTCAATACCCAGAGAAGAACTTGCCTATCTGTATACGAAATGTACAAAAAAACAGAGTTACTTTCTCTTTTCACGATGTTTTCAATTCCGAACCATGATTGTGGATCGGCTGAGATATGGCTTTCCACGGAGTACTTGTCTGCCATGAATTCTGAGAGGACTCTTGCTCGTCCCAGCTCCTCCACATAGAGAGCATCTCGAAACTTTCCATTACAGCAAAGCAAGTCAGTGAGTAACTTGTAGGGAAAAGTACCGTATTCCTCTAACAGAGAGATTTGAAATCCACTGTTTCCTCTCTGGAGAGTTCTGATTTGTTCATATTTTCCAATACATTGAAGAAGATATTCCATTGCCTCCTCATCCTCGTAGTGCGATATCTTCAACTTTGTAATTTCGAGAAGGCTAAGAAACTCAATCATTTTGCTTCCAATTTGGCTGCCTACTGAACAAGCTTTCCGTAAATAATCTCTTGCCTTACGACATTCTCCAAGCAATTCGAATAGTTTTCCAACGTTTAGGTAAAATATTGCTTCAAACCGTCTATTGCCACATTCTCTGCTGATGGAAAGCGCCTTCTCACAATGTTCTTTTGCCTTCTGACTGTCATTTACAGAAGCAAAGACATGTGCCAAACCTACATTAGCCATGGCTTCTTGTTCTCTGTAACCAAGTGTAATACTGACGCCGACTGTTTTTTCAAAATGTTCCATCGCTTGCAGATTTCTGTTAAGCTTAATGTAAACACATCCAATACTCGAGTGTGCAAAACCTTCTCCTTTTCTGTCGCCAATTTCGATCGCGATGTCAAGTGCTTTCTCGAAATATCCTTTAGCCTTCTGATATTCGCCAAGGGAATAGAACAAATTTCCGAGGTTCCCGTATGTTTTTCCTTCTCCATTTTTGTCGCCAATTTCTATCGCGATGTCAAGTGCTTTCTCGTAATATTCTTTAGCCTTCTGATATTCGTCAAGGGATTGAAAAACCAGTCCGAGGTTCCCGTACGCTGCTCCTTCTTCTTGTCTACCGCCAATTTCTATCGCAATGGCAAGTGCTCTCTCGTGATATTCTTTAGCCTTCTGGTTTTCGCCAAAAGAACGAAACACTTTTCCGAGGTTCCCGTATATTATTCCTTCTTCTTCTCTGCGGCCAATTGCTATCGTGATGGCAAGTGCTTTCTCATGATATTCTTTAGCCTTCTGATATTCGCCTAGGGAATAAAACACCTCTCCGAGGTTTTTGTATGTTGTTTCTTCTCCTGTTCTGTTGCCAATTTCGATCGCGATGGCAAGTGCTTTCTCGTGATATTCTTTAGCCTTCTGATATTCGCCTAGGGAATAAAACACCTCTCCGAGGTTCCCGTATGTTCTACCTTCCCCATTTCTGTCGCCAATTTCTATCGCGATGTCAAGTGCTTTCTCGTAATATTCTTTAGCCTTCTGATATTTGCCAAAGCAATCAAACACCGTTCCGAGGTTTCCGTATACTGTTCCTTCTATATTTCTGTCGCCAATTTCTATCGCGATGGCAAGTGCTTTCTCATGATATTCTTTAGCCTTCTGATATTCGCCAAGGGAAGCAAACACCACTCCGAGGTTTCCGTATGCTGTTCCTTCTCTTCTTCTGTCACCAATTTCTATCGCGATGGCAAGTGCTTTCTCGTGATATTCTTTAGCCTTCTGATATTCGCCAAGGGATTGAAACACAGCTCCGAGGTTCCCGTATGTTGTTCCTTCTCCTTCTCTAATGCCAATTTCTATCGCGATGGTAAGTGCTTTCTCGTAATATTCTTTAGCCTTCTGATATTCGCCAAGGGAACCAAACACCGTTCCGAGGTTCCCGCATGTTCTTCCTTCTTTATTTCTGTCGCCAATTTCTATCGCGATGGTAAGTGCCTTCTCAAGATGTTCTCTAGCCTTCTGATATTCGCCAAGGGAAGCAAACACCCCTCCTAGGTTTCCGTATGCTAATCCTTCTCCTTTTCTGTTGCCAATTTTAATAGAGATGGCAAGTGCTTTCTGGTGATATTCTTTAGCCTTCTGATATTCGCTAAAGGAATGAAACACAATTCCGAGGTTCCCGTATATTGTTCCTTCTTCTTTTCTGTCGCCAATTTCTATCATGATGGCAAGTGCTTTCTCGTGATATTCTTTAGCCTTCTGATATTTGCCAAGGGAATCAAACACCCCCCCGAGGTTTCCGCATGTTGCTCCTTCTCCTTTTCTGTCGCCAATTTCAATAAAGATGGCAAGTGCTTTCTGGTGATACTCTTTAGCCTTCTGATATTCGCCAAGGGATTGAAACACAATTCCGAGGTTCCCGTATGTTGCTCCTTCTCCTTTTCTGTCGCCAATTTCAATAGAGATGGCAAGTGCTTTCTCGTGATATTCTTTAGCCTTCTGATATTCGCTAAGGGATTGAAACACAACACCGAGGCTCCTGTATCTTGCTTCTTCTCCATATCTGTAGCCAATTTCTATACTGATAGCAAGTGCTTTCTCGTAATGTTCTTTAGCCTTCTGATATTTACCGAGGGAACATAACACATCTCCGAGGTTCTCGTATGTTAGTCCTTCTCCATATCGGTGGCCAATTTCTATCGCGATGGCAAGCGCTTTCTCGTGATATTCTTTAGCCTTTTGATATTCGCCAAGGGATTGAAACACAACACCGAGATTCCCGTATGTTGTTCCTTCTCCATGTCTGTCGCCAATGTCTATCGCGATGGCAAGTGCTTTCTCGTGATATTCTTTAGCCTTCTGATATTCGCCAAGGGAATCAAACACCCCTCCTAGGTTTCCGTATGTTGCTCCTTTCCCAATTCTGTCGCCAATGTCTATCGAGATGGCAAGTGCTTTCTCGTGATACTCTTTAGCCTTCTGATACTCGCCAAGGGAATTTAACACATTTCCGAGGTTCCCGTATGTTGATCTTTCTCCAATTCTGTCGCCAATTTCTGTTGCGATGGCAAGCGCTTTCTCGCTATATTCTTTAGCCTTCTGATATTCGCCAAGGGTCTTAAACACCACTCCGAGGTCTCCGTATGTTCTTCCTTCTCCTTTTCTGTCGCCAATTTCGATTAAGATGGCAAGTGCTTTCTTGCAATATTCTTTAGCCTTCTCATATTCGCCAAGGGAATTTAACACAGCTCCGAGGTTCCCGTATGTTCTTCCTTCTCCATTTCTGTCGCCAATTTCTATTACGATGGCAAGTGCTTTCTCGTGATATTCTTTAGCCTTCTGATATTCGCTGAGGCTGATACAGACATTTCCAAGTCTTTGAAGAGCCACTCCTTCTTTTCCTTTGTGACCAATTGTTTTCCAGATGTTGAGTGCGCATTTATAGAATTGCTTTGCCTCTACAAACCGGCTTTGTACTACATATTTTTCTCCCAGTTCTCTAGTTAGTATCCCAGCATGAATAAATGTGCCAAGAATTTTGTTTGTATGTCTTTCCGCCTCTGTGTAACCAGAGATCGCGTAGTACGCATTGAATAGCACATCGGAGATATCAAGGTGACTACCAGAGTACAGGTTTTGAAGTAGAATTACACATTCATTACATAACTCAGTCGCTTGTAGGCCACGATCAGTGTTCAGAAGAAATATGACGACATTTAAACCTATCTGGACTGATTTTAGGATTTCTGCAGTGTCACTCATAACGGCTCTCTCCTGATGGTCGTCGTATGAAAGAATCAACAAAAAAAGGAAGCTTAGAAAAAGTAAAACTGAAAAATGTTCGAGTTTCTACGCTGTTTTTAAGGAATTTGTGGTTGTCTTCCTTTCCACAAATGTTTAAGTGCAACATTCCATTTCATTCTTTTTTCAAACCAGTCACAAGTGTATCATCTTGGTTCAAATTACAATAATCGTAGAGCAGATTTGGATATAGCTACCAAAAAAGTTTCACCAATGGAATAGCGGTTAATTTACCAATCGTGTTATATTTGCATTCCCGTGAAAGTGTTTACACGTGACGCGTGAAGGAGGCTAAAATTAATATGTGGAGCGTGAATTTTACAGAAAGGCAAGCGTGATTCGCGAAGTTAAGAAGCAATGTTAGGCGTGATTTGCCTCCTGATATATGCGTGACCAGTCAATTTCTTCTTTCATTTCGTGAAAACGTCAGGATTTCCCGGAAACCATGTACATAAAAAGAGACATTTGAAGGTTTCCCTTTGCCAAACGTGACGCGGGAATTTTTTACGAGAGATGTCCATCTACAATCGGAGATGTAGATGTCCATCTACAATCGCTCTGCCAAAGGGCTAACGCTTGAAACGTTAGTCTCTTTACTCTTTACAGTGGCCAATTTACGTTTTAACTCAGTTGTTAACACTTAATTGCCTGATATAGATATAGTTTCGTTGCGTGGTGGACAAATTTGATGGACATAAAACCAACAAAAAAAATTACATTCTACCATTAAACAAAGTATGAAACTAGTGTTCCATAGAGATCAAGCCAGAATTTAAGTCTTAGAAACTCGCCTCATTAATTTGAGATGAAGAAATTAGAACATGTAAGTGTTGTCAATGATTAACCACCCATCAATTACTTTGAAAAAAACAATTTTTTGATTTTGATACAGCATTAATTTGTTTTTCAGACGAAGGAAAATCTTTTTATTTCATTCCATAACATTCGTGTTACTTCAGTAACTCATGCACCGACTTCTCCAAATTTTTTTTTTGGTAAAATAATAAAGTCATTTTTATTCATGGCAATTGAAACTAAGGAAACCTTAGATGGAAGAAAAATTGTTTCTTAAGTTGCCCATAAGATTCATCAAATAACACACGGGAGCTTCCTAGTTTTAATCACATAAGTGATGAACACGTAGTTTCTCCTTACAATATCAATATACCATACAGCAATGGTGAGAGTAAACAGACTCATCATTCAGAGGGTGTTATCTCTATGAGTAGCAAGTTTCAATCCAAAACATGTTAACGCATAATGTTTTTGAAATTAATTTTTGGCTGCTCACCTTTGAAAACGAAAACATCCCTGCACAGTTAGGAGACCAAAATCGCGAGACTGATTCGAACTTTCTCTGCAAATCAAGGAAGAATACAAAGAGTTAGTATTAGATTGAATAGGAACGTTATCGGTTAAAAGTAATCATTGTAAACCTAATAAGGATGAAACTTGCATTACAGCTTGCCCATAAGATATCTCAATAAATATTGGAGCTCACATATCATTGATAAAAGTTTGGTGGTTTTAATTTCTCTTTGCCCGATTTTTTAAAACCTTCAAGTTACAGAACTGACGAACATGTTGCTTCTCCTCCAATATCAACAGCATTATTCGGTAAACAAGCGACGAGAAAACTTATCAGCTGAGGGTTTTTTCTTAATACAACATTTAAGTCTCCCTACTGACTAACAAGGTAATGTGACGGAGCTAGAAGGAAGAGTTGGTGATGAGTTCTTAAATTCAAAAGGTTGAGATGATGCAGGCCTCAAATACTTTGCAATCAAATCAAAACTTGATTCGACTCTGGAAGGTCTCCGCAAATATTATCAGATTGTTGGAATAACAACTATTTAATCACTGAATTTGCTATATTTTCGCAAGAAATATATTTTTTTCAAAGCGGGAAAAGATTAACGATTACTAAATTTAGCTTTTTTAGCTGGTAACCTTTTTAAAAATAAACACGCTTTGTTTGTGTGATGAGACCGAAAGTGGCGAGAAACAAAGATAAATGCAAGCAGCTCGTGTGAGAACAAAGCGCTCAGGCGTCACTGAAAAACAGCGTCGCTGAAAAACATTGTAACCCTTAAATAAAAAACGAGAGAGGGAGAGAGAGAGAGAGAGAAAGAATTGTAAACTAATATTTTCTTTATTTATGCAGCTTACCCTTGAACAAGGAAGTGTATCTTGTTTCGTATTCTGATCGAATAACTGAGGAAGCCGAGAGTAAGAAACTAAAAACCACTTTCCCTGCAAAACAGAGATGAATGGCAATCTGACAAGAGTGATAAAAAAGTACCAGCTTTATCGCTAAAACAAAAAGTCGTTTAGAATACCTCAAACAGAACTACGTGGCTTTCCAACTTCCGTGTAATTTAAATTCATGACATGGCATCTTAATTTTTTTTAAACAAAGATTTCAGATTTAAAAATCTGAATTTCTCGTTCATGCATCGTGTGTCTGCTTTTATTCTTTCACTCCCAGATTCTGACACCTAAGAATTGTTTAACGCGCAATTTCTCCTTACAGCTTCAATATATTCTCCAGTAAACAGTTTTGGAGAATAAAGAAACTTATCAGCTGGACGGTGGCAAATTGACGCAACACTTCATTCTCTAAAAATATATACTGTGATATTTATAACATTTAAGGATACTTAGTGAGATGATGGAAGTTAAAGGCCTAAAGTTGAGTTCATCATTTTATTTTGCAGACTATGATCACTTTAAGTTAGGTTTTTAGAAACAAATCTTTGCCAAAATATAAGATTATTCGAGGTTTAAGTCCTCTGCCTTTGAATGTCTAGTGCAAACCTCTAAAAATATTTACTGTGACATTTGTAACATTTGCAAAGGAGACTTAGTAAGATGATGGAAGTTGAAGTCCTGAGGTTGAATTCATCATTTTATTTAAGATCTCTGGCTTTGAAAATCCATCGCGAAACATTTCAGTTTTGTAAAGCGGGAAAGATTGTTTCTAAATTTATTATTTTCCTACTAACCTTTTATACAAGAAGCTTGTCTTGTTTGATATTCTAGTCGTATGACTGACGCAACCAAAAGTAAGAAACTGAAATAACAGTTTCTCTGCAAAACAAAACAAAGATGAATGCAAATATAGCTGTTGCGAGAAAGACGTAAACTCTTCTGTAAAATAGAAGTAAAAAAGCTCAAAAAAATTGATGAACCGAAGAGGGAAAAACGTTAACCAAGTTGAAAGATTGAGTTTGATTTGTAAAGAACAAAAAAAGCAGCCGTTTAGGAATCTTAAAATCAATCGCTTATCATTTTCTCCATAAATTAAGCGCACAAGGTTAAATTATCAAACAGACTAGATTTCCCCGGCTTGAATAAATTTGAAATTCAGCAATACTGCGCGATTTGTATATACTCTGCGTTACACGGACACTGAAAGACGTTAAGCTACCTAGGAAGGCCTAGGAAACAAGATCACACGTGCCGGGCCAAACGGAGATTTTATGACAAGAAGCATCTCCGCTCATGCAACGAACATTTTCATGGAAAAAACATTTCAATTTCGAATGGCCTTGTTTTACTCATTTTTTACATTGGGAACACTAACGACAGTTACCACCTTTCTGAATCTGAAAACTTGTTTTGCCGAAGATAACTGACCCCGTGCGTGAAACGCAATATGTACATCGTGTTAACATTTGTAAACTTCTCATGACGTTTTTGGGCACAGATTGGGCGTGTCTATTTGATTAAATTCACACAAACGGATTGATTGTTATCCAACTTCTGGATAGATATGAATGAAACGAATTTGACTCAACACGGCAGAAGTACCAATGTTAACGCATCAGATATTTTTTATCTAAGGGATACGATGAAAATTTTGAAAAGTGAGGGAATTTATTAACGCTTTCCCTACAAAACAGAGATGAGTCACAATCTGACAAGAGTGAAAAAACTAAAATCTTAATAGCTAAAGCAAAAAGTCGTTTATAAAACCTTAACAGAACTACGTGGCTTTTCAACTTCCCCGTAATTTAAATAAAAAACATGGCATCTTCATGTTCTTCTTTAAAAAGATTTCAGATTTAAACATCTGAATCTCCCGTTCATACATTTGGTATCTGCTTTTACTCTTTCACTCCCAGACTCTGACAATTAGGAACTGTTTAACGTGCAGTTTCTCCCTACAGTATCAATATATTCGTCAGCCAACAGTTTTGGCGAATAGAGAAACTTATACTCAACTTATACTGTGCGATATGTATATATTTTGCGTTACAGCTGACACTGAAAAACGTTAAGCCTCATAAGAAGGCCAAGGAAACAACATCAGACGAGCCGCGCCAAATGGAGATTTTATGACAAGAAGATTCTCTGCTCATGTGATGAGCATTTTCATGAAAAAAAATTCAATTTCGAATGGCCTTATTTTACCCATGTTTTACATTGGGAACATTAGCAACGGTTACCATCTTTCTAAATCTGAAAACTTGTTTTGCCGAAGATAACTGACCACGCGCGTAAAACGCGTCAGAAGTACTGATGTGAATGCATCAGGTATTTTTTATTCAGGGAATCCAAAGGAAATTTTGAAAAAAAAAGGGAATTTATTAACGATTCCCCTGCAAAACAGAGATAAATGACATTATAACATAGCGCGCGTGCTTGCCCTATATGAGTCCTATTGAGCCGCTATGAACAAAATCTTTATTTACGCACGCCCGTGAGTAAATAAGATCACGTGAGCATTTTTTTGCCTGGCTTCAGAGTTTCCGTCCTGTTAAGCTGCGATGCTGTTCTCCTTCTCTTTGAAATATGGAAGAAACCAGCGAAGAACTGCCCAATTTTTCTATCGGCATTGACCATTTAGGTCCTGATCCAACAAGCAACAAAAATAAAGCCGAGAAAAACTCGCAAGTTGCACGTTTCGCAAATTCTTTGGAAGACCATTTTCTCCGTAAATTTTGAGCTTTTCATTC